TTTAGTAAGAATGTGTTTTGGACTAGAGCTAAAAGAATGTGAAAGAAAATTTCTAGCCTTGAGTGTTGCTGCCACCTACATGGCAGGGAGACTACACACAAATCCCCCTGCCTTTTCAGACAGGCATCAGTGCAGGGGCTATTTTTTATGAAAATACACTTTAGAAATTCCCAGATCTGTTTCTTGACTTAATTAACCCAATGACACGATAAGAGTTTCACCTCATTTTCTAGCTCACATTCTTGCATACATTGGACTAAATGGTTTTGCTTACGCTGTTGGGAATACACTGATTATTTGAAACAGAAGCTCATCCGGAATTCTTCTTTATCATAAAAATGATCCCGAGGGCAACCTGGTCCCCTTGGCTAGGTCTCAGGGAAAGGATGAAGATTCTTAATCTTACTGGGCTGTGTTTGTTTTTCTGGACTCTGAAATGCAAAAGGGAAAATGAAACAACACGATGTCTCCTGAGTTGATGAGACAGTAACTCTGAACTGATGCAAATAGAAATCCCATAGATGTCAGAGTTTGGGGGATACAGACTGGGGAGGTTATTTCTGATAGACAATGTACTGGACACTGCATAATTAACAGGAAACTTCCTTAAAAGTCTAAAGGAAACTTGTGATGTGGTGAGAACACATCATAGCCTGTGTTTTCATCTTAGAAGGCATCATCTGAGCCACAATGCTTATTGCTGAGGCTGTATGAAAACACATTCTGCTTAGGAAACACACATGCAAGATGGAAAATCCAGTTGATGACTTTACAGATAACTGTGATTAAAATGATTGCTAAGTGAATAAATGATGGATTTTGGAAGCACGTGCCAACTAATTACTGCTATTATGTAATGTTCTGAATATTGGCGTTTCGCCGGCATTTGGCACTTTGCATTAGGCCCAGAGTTGCACTAAACATAGACTACTTACCTTTGGTGTTAAAAACCTTGTACCCTTGAACTAAAATCATCAGTGCTTTTCTTATCGAAAGGCTACTGAAGATAATAAAAGACCCCTAATGTTGATGTTAGGAGAATATGCTCTGTGTAGTGAGAAAAAGTCATTTGGAGAAACAATGGCAAAGGAAGAACCAGAGGCGCAGACTTTCCCCAGGTATACAATTAGGAATAAGCTGTTTCAAATACTGTCAACGGTCTAACCATTTGTATCATTCTCATCATGCTTGTGATGATGCAATTGTCACGGTACATTGACCTGCAGTATGCTTTGTGGGGCAAAGCTGAATTTATCTTAGATTAATCAACAGGGGCTAGTCGTAAGTCTAACATGTGAGGGTGATAAAAAATTCAAGTTATCAAGGTAAATCCATTTTAATACAATATTTATAAATATCAAGTTATGCAAGACATCCATGATATCAAAATTTTGGATAAAGATAGCATCTGGGAAGTTTGAGATGAGGGTGAAAGAGGGAAGGAGGTGTGCCAGGCCAGGTCTCACCTTGGTCCCTGACCCACCTCTCCCCAATAGGATGAAAGTGGCACATGCGCTTTTCAGAGGGTCCCATAGTGGATGGGAGTTTCCAGTGACATGCTTTTACCAAAAGACCTGTCAATTTCCAGCTTATGCTTTCCTGCGTGCCAGCTGTAGGATCCTTATTGACCGAACTATAGTGCGTTCAGGGACCACTGTACAGGAGGCCATATAACTTCATCTGAAAGAGGCCTATTCAAGGCCGTTTTAACATTGCAACATTTTTGGTTACAGCTCAGTTTTAAAATACTTAAAAAATACCGACCATTATGCAAATAATGATAACAACAAATAATAAGAACAAAATAGCAAAGCCATGACTTTCTTATGAAATTAAACATACCTTTGGGTGCTTTACATGGAAAACAAGATTTTATAGAGAATAAAGGAGTTTATAATGCTGCTGTTATGTAACTGAGTAATCAAAATGTGTGCAATATACAATTTTAAAAAACTCCTCGAATGAGTCCATTCTGTGAAATAAGACTTTAAAATGAATTGGAATTAATGTAACCTGAGCCTTCACTTTCAACACACGGCATGAAAGTTAATTTTTAAAAACTCAATTATTATAATGTGCCCTCTAAAGATTGAAGAGAAACATTGTCTTTTCTAAAGTGTTCATTTGAATAATTATAAAAGGATTTTTAAGATACAGAACATTGGAGCGGAATACATAAGACAGGAAATAAAAATCATCCCTAATGCTACCAGCTAAAGATAGAATATTAACATTTAACAATCTGTTTTCCTACCGTTTTCCTACCACTGTCACGTTCAAAGTAGCCTTAGCTTTGAAAATAGTAACAGATTGAGACCTGAGGCCACCGCTCTAATTGTGTCTTTATAATACTATTCATTTTACCTTACATTTGAAGGTTGTAAAACAGTGCTCAGGTTGCTCTTTTTACGCCTGGGGGTGTCCCTCTGAGGAAGCTCTGAGCAGCACAGCAAGTACCAGCTTCTGCTCTTGACCCTAGGAACTTGCTAGATTTTTCTCTCTGCAATGTACAAAATAGAAAATTTGTGACTCTGTAATAAATAAATGAATCCAGGCCTGTAAATTTGAAAACGTGATATTCCTTTGGGGTATGTGTGTGTGTGTATATATTTGAGCATATGTATAAATATGTATCATAAATATCCCCGAGATGTTACCAAGAAAGAAACAGAAGATAATGTTTTCAATGAATTATTTATTACAATGACAGGAAGAATAGATATAAACACGGGTGCTAATACCATCATTGCACTGGTTACCTAAGACTAGCCATGTAAAAGGATTATCCAAAGAAAGTCAGTTTTGAGTTTCTAGCTATGGTAGAAACCTTAACCATGTAGTTAAGATCACCACATGGTTCATCCACTTAACTGGGTGGCAACTTGCTATTTCGAATCTCCGTCCTAACAGAAACTACTGAAACGTGTTGAGCATGAGTCAACATAAAGAAACCTTTGCTAAACAGTCTAGTGGGTCTGTGTTACAAACACACTTGCACATGGATATTAGAGAAGCATTAGTTAAACATCTCTCTCTAAAACTCTCACTTTTAAGAACAAAAAGCTTTATAGTTAATAGTTTTGATCTCCAAAATTCATATTGATAAAAGGAAATTTTAGTCATTGAACACGAGTTTTTAAATGTTTGTGACTTTAACATGTGATGCTGAAAAAAATTCTTAAAATTCCCATTTCGTAATGTCATGGTTGTGCCAGTTCTAATTTCCTAGAGCTAGTCACATCATAAAATATTTACCAGGGATTCTATATTAGTTTCTTTGGACCTGAAAAATGCTAAGTATGGCAACTGCTAAAACGTATTGTTATTCTTTGAAAAAGGTAATAGGATGTAGCTATCAAGATAAGCTTATTTTTAATAAGTACATTATAACTTGAGTATCCAAATAAGTTTTAACTATTAAAATTTCCCTTTGGAGAGGACATATACTTAATGGACTGTAATCATTCGAACGTTTTGGGAGTCCTTCTTGTAATGACCTTAAGACGAATATACAACCCACAAGAAGACATATTACATTGCCTTGCTACCTTCCTTTATTTGAAACTTCCTGCAAGTGGCTTTGGCTGTTTCCAAAGGAGGAATAGAATGCGTATATATCAGTGTATATATCACATATATATGTGTATATATATATACAATGTATATATATGATATATATCAATTTTATTTAAGTATTCATATTAATATATTAGGGTTTCTGAAGTACAACACAAAAGTAATTTCAAGCAGTGGTGTCCTATTTTAGGAGACAAGGAACACATATTTTACACTACTTAAGAGGAGCCATATTCATTTGATTTCTATATTCTGGCATATTTATTCAGATTAGTCATTAATTATAAGCTCCTAAAGGGTAGAGATGCTGTTATTTCAATTTTATAGTTCTCTAATCTCCCCCTCCCCTGCCCACTGCATCCCAGAATAGAACCTGAGGCTGATGCTCAAAAATTTGTTTGCTGTATCGAAGTGACTTGAACTGTCCTATTAGATAGATTTAACAATATATCATATATTTAATACTTTATTTTCGTTTTTCATGGATTAGGCAATATTTGTATTCATAATATGGCCTTTGTTTGATGATTTTTTTTTTAATAAATCAAGGCATCATACAATATTAATCATAAAAAATAAATTAGATCACTAAAAGTCTTAATAGATGAGCACTTTATGTCTGTTCTAAGTTATATTGTTCTGCATATTTTGGTTTTAGAAGGCTGGCTAGTCAAGCTTCTTTCTGGGGAAAGAACTATAAGAGTTTATACTTAATAAGAATAAACTGTGAAATTTTGTAAGTAGATTCCCCTTCCCTCGTCATACTTTAATGGGCAAAAAGATCAACCTTTAGCTAAAAACGTTAGCTTCAATGTCATGAGAAGTCCAAATTAACTAAACAGCACACAGCGTTGGTCACTGTTATACTGTGTGTCACTTATTAGGACTAACTGATGACACTGGGAACTGGTTATTTGTTGACAGAGAATGTTTCTTGCTTAGAGATGAGATTTACAACAGCAGTTGGTGTGAACTAAAGCATCTACTAAAACAAGATGTCCTAACCTAACAAATCAAATTTGGTTTTAAGCTAAACATAGTGAAGTCATGTTAAATTTAAAACCATTATGTGCTACTTTGGTTTTAATGTTATTTATTATATAATGTAGAAACTGAAAAGTTGGAAGCAAAACTAAAAGCAGTATGAAATTTGTATCTGTGGGCTGGCATTCATTTTTGGAAAAATTAACTTAAAAGTGAGAGGTATGTGTATAGAATTATTTAGACAATGATTTCCTAAAATTAGATGAATTTGGGTACTTTCAATCAGTATTATACTTTCAATACATTCTGGCTAAAGTGCTAGCAAATCCATTAGAGTCTAATAATTCTACCAACAACTTTGCTTTTATATAATAACCAACAAATGATAGTTTGGGGGGCTGTAACGTGTCCAAATCCAGTTCTTACAGATGAGATTCCAGTTAGCACACCTTGCAGGGGCACACCTTTGCTAACCATAAATGATGTCTTGGCTCACCTAGAAAGAAAACAAACATTCTGGGTTATAGGGTGAAATGTAGAAAGCGGAACAAAAAGAAGAGGAGGAAGGGAGGAAGAGAAGTCGGGAGGTAGGAGGGAGAGAATGAGAAGAGAAAGGGAGGAAGAAGGGTGTTGCTTATAATTTCTACAGGTCTTTTCTATCATGAAATAAAATGTTAATATAATGAAAAATACCTTGTCTTAGAAACCAGGCAAATACATTTTAATTGCACACGTTTTTAATAGGTTGTTGTTTTTTAATGGCCAAGGAAGCTAAAAGTTTTCAAGAAGGTGAATTTGGTTTAAAATTAGTAAATTTCCATATATTTCAAGAATCTACTTGTTCTTAGAGAAACTCATAACTGCAATTTTAGAATCAAATTTTATAAAAATTTGTTGAAATATTTTTGGAGTCAGGGGATCAAAAAAAATTTATTTTTCAGACTACTTGGGTGATTATCTTTGTAGGCCTAAAAAATTTTACTTGATTTAAATCAATTTGACCATCAAACTGATTGGAACATTGTGCCTTAAATTTTTTTTTTTTTTTTGGAACAGAGCCTCAAGCTGTCCCCATGGGTAGAGTGCTATGGCATCACAGTTCACAGCAACCTCCAACTCCTGGGCTCAAGCAAGTCTCCTGCCTCCACCTCCCAAGTAGCTGGGACCACAGGCGCCTGCCATAACACCCGGCTATTTTTTGGTTGCAGCCATCATTGTTGTTTGGCGGGCTGGGCTGGATTCGAACCCGCCACCTTAGGTGTATGTGGCTGATGCCTTAGCCACTTGAGCCACAGGCGCCTAGCCAGTTAAATATTTTTAACCACATTTATATTAATGTCAGAACCATGAATAGTAAGTTTCACTCCTATTAGCAAAAACTAAAAAGCTGATTCTTTGGTTTAGATAAACCGATATTGTATACGAATTGTTTGTGTGTGTGTGTGTGTGTTTATATATTCTTAAAAATTATTATGTTGGTGCTTAAATTTTTTCCCTTTGGAGAAATTTAAAATGTTGACTTGTAGAACACAACTAGAGGAAAGCTTATATCTTACTACTGAAATTATTTTTCATTCTTCTAGACCTTTTTTTAGCACTAACCCTAAGAAGTGTGTTCTGCATGGCTATGACTGATGAGCTCTTCACAGATTCCACATTTTTCCTGCTTCATGCATCATCATCAGCCATCTCCAATGCTCCAGTCCTGAATCTGTCCTACTTTCTGCTCCCTGATTTTCTGATTCATGAGTCAGAAGAGTAGAAGAAAAAAAAATCTACCTTGGTTTTTCACGATGTAGTATCCCCTGGAAACTCTGGGAAATCTAGTTTTGATCATCAGATTCATGCAAACATCAAACATCAAACTGATTGACCATGATGCCTATAGATCTATATACCTAACACACTAACTCTAAGATGTTCCATTAATGGCGGAATGCATACTGATTATAAACTACTCTGAAATGATATGAAAACACTTAGGTAAATACATCTGTTGGACTTCCCAGATCTCTCTCGTCACTACGGCTTTCAGCTGAAGCTACTTTTAAGCACTGTCTCTAGTGCACTAAAAAAGAAAATTCTTAATTTTCCAAGCCAATAAGGCGATAAAAGCTCAAGATCTCTTATTGACACTTTCATAAAAATGGTGAATATCCCCTTAAATATTCTATCATCATGAATGTAAAGATGGCAGACAAGAAATCTTCTCTGTTAATTTTCTGGAGAATAGGGATTGAGCTCTATTTTATTGTATAAGAAACAGTTAACAAGAAGTTCACCAGCAGAAGGTTCACCTGAACTGTTTTTGTGATAACCGTTTTTCAGATTCAGAAGCATCCAGGCCTAAAGAGCCGAAGAAAGAAATCCTAATGGCCCTAAAATCTCAAGAAGGGAGCTGCAAGTTCACGATGTTGTCTCAGTGCTTCTATTACTAGACATCAAGGTTATTCCCACAGGTTTCAGGAACCTACAAATGCCAGTGAAGGAGCAAGTAGACTTCACAGAGTCTAAGCCAGAAACTTCAATCTGGGATTCACCTGTGAGTCAGAACTCTTTGCTAATGAATTATTCCAAAGAAAAGATACTGCTGAGAGATACCTTCCCTTATCAGACAAGACCTCCAGGTTCACTAGCAGGGTCAAAATAACAGGAAAGCTCTAGTCTGCAGGTGCTTTGCCTGCCTTAATGGACTCTAGGTGCTCACCTGGGTATACAGCTTGAACCAATAAAAAGATCACAATGGCATGATGAATAAGGTAGAGCGCTCTAGAGACCAGGTGAGCAGCCACTCCACAAGGCATATAAATTGTGACCTATATGTAGGCTGCAGCCCATTTACAAAGGGCTCGTCCTGCTCAGTTCAGTGCCTGGAGAAGGAGTGATAGCCCTGTAAAAATAAACAATCTACCTAGTAAGTTCAAACCTATCGCATTTGGAGATAATTTACAAAGTCACTCTTACTCTTTTATATGAATTCTAACAATTTGGTTGTATTAATGGCATTTTAAAACTCTACCAACATTTAAAACATCGACTTCACTTTTTTTTTCGCCCCAAATTTAGTTTTTCTGTGCTTTGATGTCCCTCTGGCTTTCTGCCTATGAAAATGAGTCGGTATTAAGCAATGTACATATGAAACCATAAGAACTAATGATGTTTATTTACAAAAAGGAGGTTTTATTGGGAAAGAACAATATCTGAAGCAATTTTGAACTGCTCTTCAATGGAAAAACGATTTCTGTTTTCATTTTCTATGTAGTGTTCAAACAACTGTTCTATTCATTTAAGATGATGTAACAAACATATTAGTCATTTAGCATTGCATAGTAAAAACTAGGTAAGGTCAAGACCCATTCCAGTTAGAAGACTGATCACATTCAACTGTGTAACTGGGGGGATTTTGCATGTACATAAAAATGTTCAAAGGAATTTTAAATGAGTGATAATAGTCAGTTGAAAATGGTTAAGCATGTGTGATCAGATTTAAATGTTCTTTCCATCAATGAGTAATATGCTAATAAAACTGTAAGCTTAGCTACTGACGCAACCCTCCTGTTAGTTTGAAGACATCTTCCCAAATCTCACCACTTAAAATCCCCCAATTTTCTTCTAACTAAGGGGGTAATGCTTTCCAGAGAAACACCGCTCTGACATGGTAAATAGAGGTAACAAAACTGTTAGTGTGATGCTTGTGGTTTTAGAGCACCTACATTTCGAAAGATTTGGTATTTTGAAGTTAATGTTTTAGACTTCAAAAAGCGGACGGTCTTGTTTTCATCATTCATGTCTGTCCCTCTCTGCCACCAATTTCACACCAGAAATATAAAACTTATTCTCCTTTGGTTTTCATTTGGAGGATTTTGCCTAACGGATGCTCCTACCTCAAGGAAATACAGTCTCTCATCAAAATCTCTCTCACTAAACAAGCACCTCTGTCAGAAGTGTCTTAATTTCTTATCACAGAATTTTATCCACACAAGGAGCAATAAATAATTCATGTCACTGCCTCTTTGTTGTGTGTCCCTGAACTGCGCAGAGCTGGAAGGCTGACAGCTGTGTCAGGACAAGCACCAAAGATCTGACATGACAAGGGACTAACAAGTTTCTTTAAGTTCATGGGGAAAGAAGACAATGACCCAGAGCGCAGAAAGAAATCCTGAAACAAAATAAAACGGCTTCTTTCTTTTTGCCTAAGTGTTTGCTATGAGCTTATTTCCAACCCACAAGCCCTGGTCATTTTATAGGACTGCCCAGCCCCCTTGATTCCTCACGCTCGCTTGGCCATTTACTCCTGGCCACGGATCAATATGAGCAATTCTTGGAGAAATACGATGTCTCCATGACAACCAAGCCACAAATTCTCAGTGGAAGGCAGTGAGACCAGTAGTGAACTCTCCAGAGGTTTCTAGGCCTATAAGGCAAGATGTCTTAAAATGCAGGGATGGACAGAGGAAAAAGCCGGAGTAATTCATTCTTTATTACCAGTATAATGAAGTCCAGTGTATAGAACAGTGCTCACTCTTTAAGTTAAGATTCTTTATCAGCACCTATATTTTTAAATAATCTTCCTTTTTTTTTTTTGCTATATCCTTTTATTCATATCAATCAGAGTGTGTTTTATTTCAATCTCACAACAATTCCACTCATGTTAAGGGATAACAGAAATGTATTCGACTTTTGAAATGGTATTAAGCTGATGTAAAACAATCAGCACTGAAGTACAAACTTCATTCGTGGATTTAACTGCCTGGCAGGAAGATGGCTAGAAAACGATTTATTAAGATACTCTTAAAAAAAAAACCTCGTCAAAATCAGGCAAAATTAGTCCAAACTGACAGTAACATATAAATCATTTTTTATTACAGAAATGTAAGCGTTGAACATTGCTCTCTCCATTTTAGAGTGAGACTAGTCTATGCTCTTCTTTTAGATACCGTGGCAGGAGGGGGGATAATCTGCGCATTAAAAATTTCTGTCATTGCTGAAGATACTCCTTCTCAGTTCCGTGGGATGGGAACGCAGAAATGTGGTTGGAGATGGGCGCAGAGCAGTAGTTCTTGTTTTGAGGAATCTTGGTGGAGTGGAGAGGGCTGATATACAATGCCATCGCCACTGGGCCTAGTGGGGTTCTGAGATGACTTAGGGGACCTGACATAGATTGCAGGCTGCACCTTTCACTGAAAATTAAATCTCAGTAGCTCTCCTCGGGGAAGGATCAGGGGACTGTTTGCAGCTGCCCCTTGTCAGTGAAGGCTACAAGATTTGGAAATCTCTTAACTAAGCTGACAGGCCACAGAGAGGATGAATCGAAAATATGATACATGGATCAGCACACAAAGATGTGAGAGGGTAGAGGGTCCACAGAAGCCAGAGAAAACAGGAAGGAAAAATATTCAGTGCAGGGCCCTATTTAACTCTTTCACTCGCGAGGGGAAGCTACTTTCTAGCGCCTCATAGCTTCGCAGTTAGCCAGGCAGGTCATTCAACTTCTACAAGTTTTTTTTTCTCCCTTTCTTTTAGTTAAATAGCTGTTAGGCATGCTTCAGAACAAAACAGAAACAGAAATCCACGCTGACGTGTTCCTGACTGTGTCCTTCTTGTACCTTTCTGTTTTTTTCTACAAAGAAAATATAAAAATAAGTAACCTTGACACGGAGTGAATTTCATTGCGCGAGGAAGGGTGACCATTTTCTTTCCTTTTGTTCTGAAGAGTTGACAACACCCCTTACTGTCCTGTTTAACCCTTCTCATGCCAATTAGCGTCCTGTTTGTTTTTAGAAAGGTGGATAGAATGGTAACGATGACAATTTGCCTCTCTTTCCCTCCGTCTCTCCGCCTCCGCTTGACTTTAGCGAGAGCGCATTATTCGAACGATTTAAAATGTTGGCATTGCTCTCGTTTCCAATCTCTGCCTCTATTAACCAGTTTAGCCTACAATTGATGCTAATGAACTAATAGTGTCGGCTTCCCTTCTCAGTCCTAAAGCCTTTGTACTTCCTCCGACTGAATTCTTGATGAAAGAGGAAAAGATAACAGCTCCACACTGTGACCCCTGGAGGTGACCAGTAATTGGACAGTGCAGCTGCCAGGAGAAAGCAGCATTATGGTGTCCGCTCCCCCCACCCCCGGCCAAGGACCCCAACGCTGTGTCAAATTTATCATTTTTTACTTGACTATTTTTAAATGGCTTTCACCTGGACTCTCAGACTCTTCCCAGTCCCATCTGTCAGGCACGGCCTCCGCATCTTGGAAGTTTGCCGAGTTTGAGTTGCTGTCATGGTTGACTGGACTGACGGGAGCTATTAAGAGAGAGAGAGAGAGAGAAGAAAGAGAGAGCGCTGAAAAGTAGTAGCAAACACCATTAAAACACTTCCTTTCAGCTCCACAGATATTTCCAGGGACACACTACGTAAACACAAATAATAAATTGAAATAAAATGTATCCTCTAAGTATTTATTGGCAGACAAGTAATTAGTTGAAAAATCTATAGATGTGACTTTATCTTAGAAGAAAAATAAGTTCATGGCATCCAGCTTAAAAGCTACCAAGTAACAAAGTGATCGCTTCAAAGTCGAAATCGTATTTTTAATGCATAAATCTAAAAGAATATAGTCAATTAACAGCAATGGGACACAGAGAGAACATCAGGATAGTCGATTAGAAAGACTGGCTCTACGCTGGTGGCAATGGTTTCTTCTGTCCCACAAATCACAGTTAATGAACACTTTGCACGCATTTTCATTATCTTTCATTAAATTAAAAATGGTAGTACAAAACACCAAACAATTAGTCCTATCAAAAGTAAATCTAAAAATATCCAATGAATACACTGAAACTGAACAAGGGCTGATGTTTTGGATGGAAGGTCTGAAGGTAACTTATCATGAGATATTATTTCAGAAACAGAAGCTAGCAGAGGAGTCTAAAATTGCCTATAAGCACATTACAACCACTAATTCTGTTAGAGAAACAGACTCAAGTTTCCACATTCTTCCACAAGTTATAGCACTTGGTCTAAATTATCTCTAGAAGCAACATATTTCCATATTACATTTGTTCTAGAAATGGTTTCTCAATAAAAGTGGGCCCTGTCTTCATGAAAAAAAAAACAGTGAAAAAAACAAAACAAAACTCTAACAGGGTAAATTATATCACATTTAAGTCAAATGCTATAAATATATACATATGCAATTGGGTACGACAGAATTTTATCTACTATAGGTGCTATAGTATTACTGTGACTTCAGATCTTGGTAACACACAAACATATATATAAGCCATAAATCCAATAAACAAAATATAAGGTTATAAATCACTCATGAGATGTGTTTGTTGGCATCAGGGAGTTGGCCTGGGCCAACTATTTCTCTACCTCCATTAAGAGAATAGAGATGCTGCAAAGGCTGACACTGTGTTACTTCACACATTGGATAAGTGACCTAAAAGTGTCCCTCCCCAGATCCAAGCAGTGGTAGTGTTCACACCTGCCACATTCCTCTGCTTATTTTCATGGAATGTAGACAGCATTGGTGATCATAACCTGGGGGCCACATACATCCACTTGCAAGACTAGTAACATAATTCTAGTTGAAATATTTCTTCTAGACAGTTTCACTAACCCTACCTGGACATCATAGCTAAAACTTCTTGGTTTTGTGAAAATGTGAGCATAGTTAGAATTCGCTACTTCTCTAAAACCTTTTGTTTGAGAACAAAATATGGGAAAAATAGGCCAGGTGCAGTGGCTCATGCCTATAATCCTAGCACTCTGGGAGGCTATAGTGGGTAAATTGCTTTGAGCTCAGGAGTTTGAGACCCATCTGAGCAAGAGCAAGACCCAGTTTCTAAAAATAGCTGGGAGTTGTGGTGGGCGCCTGTAGTCACAGCTACTTGGGAGGCTGAAGCAAGAGGATCACTTGAGCCCCAGAGTTTGAGGTTACTGTTAGCTATGATGCCTACAGCACTCTACCCAGGGTGATGGAGTGAGATTCTATCTCAAAAAAAAAAGAAAACAAAAAAACTTGTAAAAGTATAAAATTCTTATTTGTAATTAATAATTTTTCTTTTTCATTTTTTGCATTTCAATTTTCTGGAAAAAATACAGAAGTAGGGACTATATCTACTTCACTCACACATTTCTGTGTGCCCCATAGATAACATTGTCTAGGCCATAGAAAGCCTTCTTGAAGAATTTGTGAAATAATAAATGAACAAATGAATGAAGCAGAGGTACCATGCTAGAAGTCCTCCTGGGCCAAGAGGATATAAACTTTCATTTATCTTCCCAATACATTTGCTCAGTTTCTTGTTTAGCCCACTTAAGGCCAAGGATGCATATTTGCAAAATAGTGAGATGGGTTAGTATGAGACTTGGAAGGAGAGGATATATGGCTTGTGTGGTTATTGACGTAGCTATGTTAATGTAGTTTTCTTCAGTTTAGGTCATACAGAGTATTTTCAAATCCATAAATTCTTATGAAATGTTTAAGTGGGATAGTTAAACGCATCAAAGTTTAAGAATATCTTGACTATTTACATTGGTCAAGATTTCCTGGTCTGTTTTAATGATTTTTATCTCTCTATATATCTTAATTATTAATTTTCTGCACTATTTACATCCCTATTTATCATAGGGACTAAGTCACACAGTTAAAATCCATTACTAAAAGCCAATGAGGTAGCACCTCTATAGATTTGGGCAAATGCATTGATTGCACTTGTGGGTTCCAATACATTGTGTATTCACAATTTAAAAATGTCCTCCATTCATTCATTTACTCATTCCTCCAACATATATTCATCAATTGCCAAATATTTCTAAGTTGTTTTTCTATGTAAGCACTTCAGAGAGAAAGAGGATATAGTATTAGATTGAAAGAGTACATGCCTGTAACCATTTTTGGTGGGAATAAAGTGATCCCAGCATAAACTGGCACCCCAAATCTCTCAAGAAAGCCAGGAAGTGAAGTGTAATTTTAGCTGCATGATCTTAGTTATTCTCATACTAGTATATACCATGCAATTATTGTGCTTCCACCTCTAATTTTGGAGGGTGTGGCTTATGTAGAGATAAGGGAATAGAGAACGTTATTCTTCAGATATTTTGCTTAGTTACACAGTTTTGAACTGGTACAAGATTTGTTATACTGATTCTTAGAGCATCCAATAAAACCTACATAGAAGAAATACCTACATTCTGCCCGTTGTGGGAACAGCAGACATTGGAGTGGTTAATTACTGCCATTCTGCTCTTTGTTTGTTTGTTTGTTTGATAGGCTAATCCCTACAATTGTTCTTTTGGGTGCCTCCTGTGACGTTTCATCATTAAACTCTGACATGATGTGTGACCATGTCTTCTCTAATGAATCATTTCAACAAGGATGAAATCAACCAATATTGATCTAGTGTTTATTACAGATAGAGCTCCATGCTAGACTGTGAGAGGTGAAGAAATGAAGGCACCTCTAACATGCCCACGTACAACTTGTGATCTAGTTGAAGTATGATGAAAAGTAACTAGCAGAAGCATCAGGGACAATATTTCAAGAGCAACATGGGTTTTTGTGGTATGGGGAATTCCTCTACCATAGCATAGTCTAGAGGTAAAATTTGTATTAGAACTCCTCGAGGGGGGCTATGGAAATTCCAACGGTACTTCATGTAGAAAAAAGATGGTAAAACAAGGCATGGTCAAAGAAGTACATTAGCCCAGGGCCTTAGGTGTATTTATTATTGTTGCTGCTTATTTGGGGATGTATTTTTAATAAGTTTTTCTTACGTGTCTCTTTGAGCTTTTCCTGAATTGCTGTTGTTAGCTAATTCTTCTCACCTGTAGAAGTGAACTATAGACAGGTTTTCTTCCTTGTCCTAGATAGTCAATAATTTGATCTTTACTGATGGTGGGCCCATTTATCACAGTAAGTTGTCCTTTCACTATACATATTGACTTTTATTTATCAATACCAAAGTCCATTTGTAGCTCATCACTAAAGTTCTTGGATATTTTCAGTAGTTTTTGCAGGTGCATTTTAGAGCTTGGCAGAGAGATACTTTTGACATCAATATAGTGCAAATGATTGTGAGGCTCAGCTTTAGCTTAAAATCAGCTGTTTATTTTCTCTGTAATGGATTCTGAAATAGTCTACATTTGAGGGGTAAGAGACAAGAAAGACAGACTCTTTTTGACAGTTCTACCACTGAAAGATGTAAGACAGTTCTACTCACCCATCACACTCCTTGAAATATCGACAGCTAAAAGGCCAGTGTTCTGAATATCTCTATAATATCTTAGGAAGCTAGAGAGAGGAGTCCATATACTTTTAGCAGATGTGTTTGGACTAGGGGGCATTTGACAACAAGGATAATTCTTCTAGATCCTAAAGAATTGAATGGTTTAGCCAAAGACAATGCAAAATCTGTTTTGAAAGCATGGTTGAGAACACTGTACGAGGAAATCCAGAAGACAGTAGGAGGAAGACTCTATACAAGAATTTAATGCTAAACATGAAAAGGTGGTGGCATGGTCAGCAGTGCTAATGCTCCCTACCTCCTTCCGTTGCCTGTTTTTGTTATGCTTTTACCCTCTACCAATTCTCTCCTTCCTTTTCAGAAAGATGCTATTAGCTGTTAAAGTTAGCTAGTCCTAGGCAGCAAACAAGTCCAAAAACATCTCTCCATCTCTAGCATGAGAGACGCTACTAGAACAAAAAAATCTCTATCCATTTCGACAAACAATGGCTGGTTCTTCCGAGCTAGGCCACTGCTGTCACACAAATAGAGTCCTTGTTAAAAATCCATATCATTTACAGGGTGAATAAAATCTGCAGCTTCAAATATCATTTTCAATACAATGACTTATGAATGATTTAAAAATAGATCCCATTCATCATACATAGAGGCTTTTTGAAAGTAATGGGGATATTTATAGGAAAATCATTAATAAAAAGATATAACAGCTTGAAATGTTGGGCAACTGAATAGAATAAACCACAGTAGTGCCAGAGAAAACCCGAACAAAAGTCTTAATCACATATTAATCAAGAACATGAGAATAACGTACAGGCTGCAGAGGTCGGGAGGGGCTAAATGACAGTTCAAATGTGTGGGATAAACAGTGGGAAAAAGTCAGAGACCTGAGTTCAAATCTACTAGCTTGATGTGGTAGCCAGGAGTTGATTACTTCCCTGATTGATGTTTTTGATTTCTTCCTAATCATAAGGAATCAGTATGAAATAACCAAAAAAAAAAAAAAAGAAAGAAAGAAAGAAAGAAAAATCTATCTAGAGGCTTAGAAAGAAA